CCTACCGCCTTCTTTGTTCGTCACCTTGGCCAAAAACCAAAAACAAATGCAAGACAAACTTCTCTCTGAGAGCCACAACAACCGTTGCCTACTTCCGGAAACTCTCTCTCCCTCTGAGCCCCGAAACCTCCAAGACGGGCCTCTTTCTTCTTCTTTTTCTTCTTGTCTTTTTATGGCGGTCGACAAACAACTTTTAGGTGCATTACCGCCACCTTCTGAATTGGAGTATGGACCAGATGCTATACGACTCTATACTATTTTACACGTTATATCCTTTGTAAATTATCTATTCTTCTCAAATATCTAAATATGCTGGTAAAAATTGTATCCCCTGATGATCTTTGCAGCAATTCCTTTATCTCTAACTTACTTTTATTTTTATTTAAATCACTAACTAATAACTCTCTTTTTTGTGATTCATTTATCACCCCCCTGACCTTTATCTGCTGCAGTCGATCCTCTCTGTTGCAGCATGGGATGCTCTGCAGCTGCCTTAATTTGAATCACCTGTAGTTAATCATTGATCCCCTGCATTTGGAGGAGTATAAAACAGGCAGAGTGCTTCTTGTCACTTGTGTCTTCATTGTCTACCATCATGTCTTTCTCTGGAAAATACCAGCTGGAGTCCCAGGAGAACTTTGAGCCTTTCATGAAGGCCATTGGTGAGTCTGGAGTTTCACTGTCTACTTTCAAACTGTGGATGTTCAGTGTTAACTGAAGGACCTCTGCCTCAGGGCTTTCTGATGACCTCATCCAGAAAGGAAAAGACATCAAGAGCATCTCTGAAATTGAAGAGACTGGGGACCACTTCAAGATTACCATCACTACTGGCTCAAAGGTTATGGCCAATGAGTTCACAATTGGCCAGGAGACTGAGCTGGAGACTATGACTGGAGAGAAGGTCAAGGTGAGCGCAAGCCTTTAAACTATAGTTCAATTATATGGTGTATGTAGTTTTTAAACCTAGTTTCTCCATAGGGGGTGGTTCTACTAGACGGAGGCAAGCTGAAGGTTTCTTTGAAGGGAATTGAGTCTGTCACAGAAATGCTGGATCAGAACACGATTGTAAATGTAGGTTTGTCTTTTTTATTTTTTGTGGTATTTCAAGTTGCTATTCTAATGGATTTCTTCTCTTGACAGACGATGACCGTTGGTGGTGTTGTATACAAGAGGATAAGCAAACGCATGTAACCGTTTATACCAAGGGCAAATCGATTAAAAATAAAAAATGTAAAGACAGCAGAACCTGTGTGAATAATTCTTAATGAAACTCTCTGAGAATGATGCAGTGACCCAGCACCAGTTGATCCTTTACAACCGTTAGACTTCCCTGCCTGAGTGAAGGGGGGGGAAAACCATATTCAAAGAAATGAATACTGCCACTGATCAGGACTCAGGTTTTGAGTTCTGCAATAACTTTTACAGTGTATTCACACTAACCCTGTTTAGTCAGCTTTATTCAAACTCTAGCTCGTTTTCCTTAAGTCTGGCTCGTTTAGGGAAGTGTGAACGCGCCATCGAACTCTGTCACGGAACAAAAAGGCGAACTCTGGCCCGGGCTATAACCTCAGTCTGGTAGAAGCGAACTCCAGCGCGGTTCGAGTACAGTGTGAATGTAAACAGACCGGACCCGCTCCGCAGGGTAAACAAACGCTCGTTTCTCTGACCTTTTTTTATATGGAGCTGTCAGCTGCCTTGTGTGGGGGGGGGGGGAAAAGATTCTCCATGGTCATCTTCTGCTCATGTTAAGTCCAATTTTGAAAAATGACAATATAACTCTTAAAACTTAATGTGTTTGGTCATGTGACGGATGTACAACATACAGTAAAATCTAAACGGATTCCCATTACAGTCCACATTAAAGCCACTACTTCCAGCAGAAAAGATTCTTGGTTCGTGCAGCATCGTAACTGGCTTGTTTTTCAGAACTGCCCCTCTCTCATGCTGTAGTACACGTACTCAATTCTGCTTTAACATCCTTGGCTCTCTGTAGGTGCATCGCCTGAGAGAAAAATCAGGATGAAAGCATCACTGCTCCAAATGTGTTAATGAAATTTGACCAAATAAAAACCAGTAAGACAAAATGGAACCTCTCCACTTGGTGGTACAAATGCATACACTATTCTGGTTTTATATTTTGTACAGTATACACAGTAATTTGGTTGTTTACCTCAAGGTCCTTGGTGATGGGATGTGTTGGACCATGGGTGATCATGAGGATGGTGTAGGCCTTACAGATCATCCCATGTCCAACTTCTGAGTCCAGCCTGCCGGTATGTTAATCCTGTTCGCATGGCTGCCATACCGAGAGCTGCGTTGTGAGGGTGATGAACCTTTTCTGCCAGAAATGCAAGATTTGGACTTTTAAGATTTTCACACTAAAACTTTGTCAATGTAACCAGTTCATAAAAGCCCTGAGGTGCAAAGCATGGACAAACAAAACAAATATTTTGGGAAACGAGACATTTTATAAAAGCTGTTTGCACTCACGTGTGTCCATCCACCATTTTGTGGGAGTATTCTGCGGCTTCCTCAAAGTTCTGCAGGTAGGACTGGACCTCACTCATCGTGCTCCACATCCTCAGCAGGTAGATGTGTCAGCCAGAACCGGCTCGGTCTTCTCAATACAGTCCCTGCACATTTTCACCACCTGACAAGCAATAAAAGAAAAATCTTATTTGAAATATTGATAAGTTTAAGTCAATAGGTGTGTCAGATATTTTTTATTTTACAACACCTCGTGGTAGTTTCCGTTTAATCGAGCCTTGTCCATCTTATTCGTCATTTGAAAGCAGTAATCTGTTGCCTCTTTCACCTGTTCGTCTGACAGCTATAACCATAGAGGGATAATTTAAATGTTGCACAAATCAGCTGTCAACAGCAAAGACGAGCTTAATAAAAAATCTTAATTTGACTTTTGAGAATGTGTGTGTGTATTATTAGACCAATGGTCCATGCCTTAAAACAAAAGTTGGAAGTTGCAGAACCAGATGGGTTGCTGACATTCACCAATCACACGTACAAGATCCACAACGCAACCTTTAGGAAAGCCTTAAAAAAGTTGGCTGGACCTGGATACTGTTTATCATGCCGTAATACATACCCCAATTAGAAGCTATAAGGAAGCGGAAAGCCTAGAAGGATATATGAAAGAAATGTTAACAGCCCATAATTTCAGACGAGTAGTGATGTATGTAGATGGATTAAGATCACATAATCTACAATGGGAGGCAGCCGAAATGGTAGCAGTTAATACTGCAACATATCTGGCAAAAGCGATGCCTCCAGAAGCTGTAGTAAAAGAATTAGTTATTGTGACCTCAACAAAACCGTATGAAGACAGAGAAACTAGGATTTTGGCCGCGATGGCAGGGGCAGAGAGGAAACAGCACAAAAGTGACCCAAAAGGGGAAAAGGAAGATTGAGAGAAATTTTCAACATCACTGGAAGCAAGGAAGGACAGAAATCCATTATGGGATGATTCCCCAAAACAGACATTATTGTTAACCTCACCCTCAGGGAAACATGTTGATGATTCTACCACAAAGAAGGGAAAATGTAGTCAAGGACAACAACAGGAGGGATCATCATGGATAGTATCAGCAAAAATGGAACCGTTAAACGGAGATAGTGAATGGAGTGACAGTGAAGTCTCTCAAGGAAAAAAAGATGTAGACCAAGACAGAGAAGACACAGACGATGAGGGTAGTGCCAGCTTAGAATCCATGGCCGGCCTGTCAGGTGCCATTTTTAAGCCACTGAGAATGGGGCAAAGAAAAGGGCAAAAGAAAACATTGGAAGTGTTTGATATTTACAAAGTTTCAGAAAAAACGGCTAGGGATCTGACATGGGGACTGGTGCAGGCAAGCGCTGGGCGTCGTACGTACATACCCGAAGCTGGTCATAATCATTATGACATTCAATCAGTGTGGGCAGACAGGTTGGAGGAAACAGTGTAACTAACTGTTAAAGCCACCTTAGGGAAATGGGCTAATATTTTAATGATGTCCTCCTTTCCAACCTTGGCAGCTTGCCAATTTATGACCAGTAAGTTCAGATTGGCTTATTTGGGAAAAGCATACAATGTAATGTTGAGAAGAATGAAGAAAACTGCTTACAAATATGCTCAAGAAATAGAAAAGAAACTCAAAGATGAGATATCAGCCTATGAGGAGGACAAACCATTCCCAAATGAGACACAACAGTTGTCCTATGCACAGCAGGCAGCCCCTGAGCCTGAACAGGCAAATCAATGCCAAGCCCCCAGCTCAGATGCTGACAGTTATCGTGAGTACAAAAAATTGAAAACCTTGTTAATAGAGAAAAGACCAGAAGAGAGTAATGAAGACTACAACAAAGACGTGTGACCCATGGTTGTTAACTCTACTGACTGTGATGCAGCTAAAAATCTGTGGCTAGGTCATGTCACCACTAACCCAGTAGGTAAGGGGGAATCGGTTCAGAGCCACAAACATGGCTGGTTCTGGAAGACATGGATGGGGAAGACTCTCAGATTCAAAGAGCCAAAGCGTGCATGAACCAAGGACAATGCCTCACACTGGTCTGGTATCAACTCAAACAGGTGGTGCACCCACCAGATATGTGAAAGCCTTAAGGATAGTATCACAAGGAAGAAGAGGGGAAATCAAATTCACTAAAATGTCCCTACATGAAATTGTGGAACAGTTTACCTGAGAATTTAAAGACCGCTCAGACTGTTGAGACTTTTAAATCTTTGCTCAAGACTCATCTGTATTCCTTGGCATTTCATCCACGCAGAGTCTGAGAACAAGTTGAGCTGATTTTATTGTTGTGTGTTGTTTTTACTGTCAACTTATGTTTTTGAGTGGCACTGGATGTATTTTTGCTCTTTTTTAATTTTTAATCTGTCTTAACTGTAAAGCACTTTGGTCAGCTTTTGTTGTTTTTATGTGATATTTAAATAAATTGACTTGACATTGACACATGGTTTTTCAATTACATCAAGCAGTAAAATCGTATGATCTAGAACAGAAGTATTGGGAAGAGCGCAGGAATAAAGGAACTAAACAGAGTGTACAACACCAAACAAAAGCAGCTCTCAAGCCTCCACCGCAGCCACAATACAAAGAACGGCCCCCAAGACCATCGGAGCCATGGTACAGAGATGAACAACCTAAGAAATTTCAATCTCCCTCATTAACCTCATACCCCAAAAGTGCGATAAATTCATGCCTCCTGAAGAAAATGCCAAACTCACACCTGAAGAGAAGAAAGCCCTCAGTGAATCCTGCATGAAGGGGAGCGGAGGGCCAGCAAAATAATGGCTGAAAGGCCGCGGGTCACCCTAGAAAACGCCTATTGGGATGGAGACGAAATCTACATTAAAGTGAATAGAGAACCCTACCTAATAGACACCGGGGCAGAGGTGTCTATGACCCACAGAAACCTAAAAACTAAAGGACACCTCACAGTTCAGTTGGCTAACGGAACCGTGAACAAAATGCCTTTTGGAATATGGCAAGGAATATTGTGGGTAAAAAGACCCTACAATCTCATTACAACAAGAGATTTAGAACTTTTATGACTTTTATTCATTAAAACAACTGTGTCACCTTTCCTGCTTTCTCCCTTGCAATGAGGATTATTAATCTTTACAAATTGTTTTGTGATTCTTTCTTCTTCTTCTTCTTCTTCTTCATTTCGTTAATGGCGGATCGCAAACAACTGTAAG